CCCCCGCCGCCGTCCCTGCCGCGGCCACGGAGAAGGGAAGGGAAGGACGGACGGACCACCTCGTGCGGAGACTGAAATGCTCAGAACCAGTGGGGATGCCGAGCCCGGGCACGCCGGCTGGCAGGAGGGACCCTCCCCACGCTGAAAAATGGGAAACTTTGGTGGTTTTTTTCTTCCTATTTTCTTTTTTTTTTTTTTTTGCCTTTTTTTTTTGAGGTTTTTTGGCTTTTACAGTGCGTTGGGTTGCGTTTCTAAAGCAGGAGCCCACAGCTCATGGTGAAATCCCCACCACGTGCCCCACAACGGGGGATCCCCGAGATTTCCAGGGAGGGAAAATCCACGTGGAGCAGAGCTTTAGCAAAGGGGATTTGCAGGAGCCATCGGGCCAGGTGTGCTGGGGTGGCCGTGGGGACGGCGAGGTTTCCGCACCGGAGCATCCCAAAGGATGGACGTGCCATCGGGAGGCTCTTCCGCATCCTCCGAGGGGACTCGCTCGAGCTCTCGACATCATTATTGGGGTTGTTTTGTTGGTTTTTTTGTTTTTGTTTTTTTCTTTCCCGTGGTTGGCGAGAGTTTTAAAAAGGAAGAGAAAAGAAACTACTGTTCAAATGTTGTGAGGTTGTCCTGATGTTTTCAATCTGTCACTTGGAGGGGGAGAATTTATTTTTATTTTTATGCTTTTTTTTAAAAATTCTTCGTCCGATCGAATTTGGGTTGGGATGGAATCTGACCCGTCAGTGGTTGGAAACCTCTATATGTTCCTCTCCGTTTTCTTTCTTTTATATATACATATATAGTGTATGTATATACTGTTCACCTATACCTACATATATGTATGTATATACATAACCATATACATCTACAGTGTGGCTTTTTTAATTTCCTTTTTTCCTTTATTTTTTTAAAAAACGGCAACAGCGACAACTTAAAAATGTATTATTGTAAAGTTTATTTTTTTTAATAATGTCTATAATGGAAAAACAAAAACAAAACAAAAAAATAAACCAAGAACGACCAAACGAGGAGGGAAGCAGCAGCGAAAGCCGCGCTCCGCCGAGCATCCCGCTGTGCCGGGGTTTGGGGCCGGCCGAGCACCCCGAGCCCAGGGGGGGGGCCCAGGGGGCCGTTCAGCTGCAGAAACGTTGGGATTTGGGTCAGTTTAAATATTTTGCAATGCTGCAAACAATTCTCTGACTGTTTTCCTCCGGGAGACAAGCAAACAAGCGAACGTTTCAAAGGAGCTGACACGTTCCCGTGCAGCAGGGTTGGGGTTTTTTTTTAATGTGCAGTAACTTTGGTTTTGCAAATATCATCCTCTTCCCTTCATGTCTTGGGTTTTTGTTGTTTTTTTTTTTTTTCCAGACAATCTGACAGCGCTTAAAACCGAACTGAAACATTGAGATTTGGGTCATGCAAAACGTCAAGCTTCTTGATTTGATTTTATTTTTTCTTTTTTATTTTTCCCCCACTTTGCTGCTCGTGCCAAGGAGCAGAAACCCCCATCCAGCTCTGCCAGTGGAAAATGGGATGTCAGGGGCATCTCAGGGAGCTGAGGATGCCGAAATCAGAGCTGAAGGATGGGCTGTTTGCCGGGAGCCGGGCACTGGTAGACGGGGAGGGAGGGATGAATATTCCCTTTTGCAGCACGGAAAAAGCAAAACACGTTTGATGTGGAAGTTGGCGCCGGGAAAATAAACATGTCACGTCTCTCGCAGGAGCCGCGTTGCAAACCCGGGCTGCTCTTTACCATCTTCTCTCCTCCAACAGCCAGGAAAATGACAGCTCTGGAGTAGAGAGCCAGATGTGCTGAGCGGTTTGGCACCGAGAAAAACATCTGGGCATGGAGGGGGGTGTTCGAGGGGCTCCGCAGCCAGCTCTGGGGTCTCTGGTGAGCCGAAATCCCGGTGCTCCCGGCTGTCCTTCTGCTTCAGCCCTGGCTTCAAAGTTTTGGCAGAGGCATGTGGACCCCCAGAGCACTGACACCATGTTCCTTTAGGAGCGGGGCTGTAAAACCCAGCGCAGGTTTCTGCTCTTCTTGGTGGCGGTTTGATTTCCTTCTTCCCCGAAAAAGCTGGAATCACTCGAGGATTTTCTGGAAGGAGTATGAACTCCTTTGGTAGGAAAGGTCAGGGAGAAACGGCTCCATCCAGTAGCTGATGCTACACCTGCTGCCCGCCGGGTACCTGCGCCCCATCCGCAGGAGATGTCCATCCCCGGAGCTCCTCGGGTTCTCCAGCTAAGGAGGCATCAGCAGAGGGCAAAGAGCTTCAAATGAGCCTGAGTTCAGAGCTTTCTCCTGGCTCTTGGGTGTTTTGGCCATGCTGTGGCCTCACTGAGCACCCGTGGCTGTGCCCCGCTCCCCTCCCAAGTCCCAGGCACAGGGATTGTGCTGGAGCTGCTGGATATTCCTACACTGGGATGAAGGCATTGGCCGTGCTGCCGTCATCCGGGTGCCTCGTACCTCCAGCTGCTGAAAGCGAAGCTCTGCGAGGTGGAAGTGCTGATCCTGGGGCTGGGGACGCCGAGCCCAAGATGCAAAAATCCCCCCCAAAGCCTTGCTAAGTCTTCCTCTCCAAACACAAAGCCTTCCCTGGAAGGAGGGCGAGGGGCCGAGCCGCTCTCTGCTTGCCAAGCGGCGGAAGGAGGTGGGAGATGGTTGTGGGGGACGCGGCTGAGCTAATGCAGCGTGTTAAATCGCTGCCTTCTCCTGCTGGCAGAGGCGCCGTGATCTACACGAGGATTTAATTTGCGTGACGTCGTTGTGGGAACAGTTCTTTTCGAGGAGCGGCACAAATGGAGCTGTGTGGGTCCGGGGGGTGTCCAGCCCCTCTCAGCCGGAGCCAAACCTCATCTCATCTGGATTTGGAGAGACCTCACACCCTGGAGGGATGGTTGGAGACCTTGTGCAGGTCTCTGTATTGCAGACTGGAGGATGGAAAGTCCTGCCCCGAGCCCCTGCGACCCTCGTCCATGCAAGTTGTTGCAGCAGGGATGGGTCCCGTGTGCCTGACACGGACACGCCGGCAGCGGAGATGCTCTGGGGGTTTTTGGCAAGTTGTAGCTTCAGCGTGACCAGAGGAGCAGAAACCAGCCTGCAAAATCCACCCGTGGGCACGGCCCCAGGAAGCTCTATGGACTCGGTGGCTTCCAGATGGACCTGGTGGCTTCCAGATGTCCCAGCTGGGCTGCAGGACCGGCACCTACCCCAGGGCTGCGAAGCGCGTGGGACCAGCACTGCCTGCAAATGGGATTTTCCTGCTGTTTTTCCCCTGCTAACCCAGTTACCCAAGCAAGACGTTTCAAGGAGCTGTCTGCCACCACTTCCCAAATCCTGGGGAACCCCCTAAGCCGCACTAACCCCTTCCTGCCCGATTCTGCGGCACCCCTCACCCGTGCCCATCCACTCTCCATGGCTTGCCCTTCACTCCCACCCGCTCGCAGAAAGGGGAGGAAAAAAAGGGATTAAGGGTAGTTTGTTTCTCTACGAGCAAGTTTTCTGGTGGCTGGGTTTGGGGTTTGGTCACTCGTGGTCCAACCCGTTGGATTTCGGCCCATCCCTCACGGCAAGGGCAGCTGCGGCCACACAGAGTCTCTTCCAACGTGAGAAGTGATTAAAAATAGATGGGATGGCACCTTTGCCCTCTCTAATTAATTTGATGTTCTCCTTTAGGCTTTCATAAGCACCCAGGCCAGCATGGTTGGGCAGGTGTTGGCTTCCTCATCCTTCTTAATCCTCCGTTAAATAAGTTACGACCTCGGGGCACTCCTGACACCTCCAGCTTTCCCACGAGCAGATACTTTGCCTCATTAACTTTCTTGAGATGCTTCACTTCACAAGAAATATTTTCTTTTCCCCCCTCTTTGCGCGGTGTTTAATTGTAAAGCCATAAAAATAACTTCTTGCCGGTGGTTAATAACACGCGGCGATGAGCGGAGCCGCGGGTCGGGGATGGGGATGTGCTCAGAGCCGGATGCTCGAGTTTAGAAACTTCTTCATCCTCGAGCCCACAAGTTCACGTGATGCTGTTCCAGCAGACAGAGAACAAGAAAGAGGAGGATGTAGGAAACTGGTGCCTTTTGTTAAATAGGAACGATTCCGGGGAGGCACCAAACATCTCCTCAAATGACCCATCCTGGTTATCTGGGATAGTTTCACCGGAGGAGGAAGCCGGCGGGAGGTTTGGTGACATCTCCAGTGAGGAGACAAAACCAGAATTGACTTATTTTCTTATCTTCAATGCTGTGAGTGAAGCTCTGGAGACTCTCACAGCTTCCGGGGCCCTGGATGACCCCATGGGATTTAAGGGGTTTGGGAGAGCGGGATGGGATGCAGCAGGAGAACCAGGACCCTCAGCTTCTGTCTGGGAGAGCGACTGGAGAAGTCCTTTGGGCGGTGGCACAGAGGCACTCTGTCCCAGTGCTGCTGGGACTGGGGACACCAGGGAGGCAAAAGGGAGTTTGGACGTGCCCAGACCAGCTGCAGCCACTGTCCCCACGGACAGAGGGGCTCCGGGGTGCCCAAGAAGACCCCAAAGCTCACGGGGTTGGCTTGAAAACACAGAAGGGTCCTGCAGCAAATGAACAACGAATTAAATCAAGGGGAAAGGCAGAGGGAATTGCTGGGTGTGTGCTGCTGCCAGGGGGACCTCTCCGAAGGCAGGTGATCCTCCCAGCTCACTCAAGGCTTTTCTCTTTTCAATCTCCTTTGGGAAAGGGATGTCAGCAGGGATGATGGGGAAAGACCCAGCTCCAGCACGGAAAGGTGCAGGTAAGGACCTGGGTGGGTCCCGGCAGCATCACCCCACTGCTGTGCAGCTCCAGCATGAGCTCCTCTGGTGCCCACGGAGCTTCGAGGGGTGCCGAGGTGACTGATG